AGCGGGGCGGGAGAAAGCAGGGTATGGTTCAGTTTGGTCAATTTGGGCAATTTTCGACTGTCTGAAAACTTTCCTAATTTAGCGGTTTTTTTTTAGGTAAAAAAGGTGGCGAAAGAGTTGGGTGACAACAGTTTGAAGGACATAACACTAGCTAATGTGAAGGACTTGATTGCCCATATATCTGCTTTAGAGAGTTTAGCTACAAAGACTGACAACTGTTTTGTTGGTGCTCATGCAGCGAGCGTTGAATCTCTTTTTGTGCCAAATGACAACGATTCCGTTTTGACAGCAGAGCTTAAGACCCAAGCTAAAGCGGAATTGGCCATTTTACCAATTCTTAGTCTGATTTGTAAATGTAAAAGAGTTGTCAAATATTTTAAAAAATCAGGCTTGAACCAGAAGTTAAAGGGGAGCAAGTTAAAACAAGAGGTTGAAACACGGTGGATGTCCACTTTGTTAATGCTGGAGTCCTTCTTCCACCCTACACTGTTAAAGTCTTACGAAGAAAAATGCCAAATCCTTTGTAATACGAAGGATTTGGACGCTTCGTAAGGAGAAAATCCTTCGTAGGTACGAAGCATTTGGCATTTTGCTTCGTAAGACTTTAACTGTGTACGCCGACGGTCCAAGATGAAGCCAGTGCAGCTGATGAGCCAGTTGTTCCCAAAATCAACACGGTGCGAAGGTATAAAGTATGTACTTTCACAGTTAAAAATACTGTTACTTATATAGCGTTTTTTTTTTTTTTTTGTTTAAGATTAATGAACTACTTTCATCAAAAGGGCGAGACGATCTTTTGATCAGCGAAGCAGAAGGGTCTGAAATGGCTGCGCTAATAAAACTTCTCGGTCTATTCAACAAGGCCATTAAGTTATTTGAGATGGAAAAGCAGCCAACCATTCAGCATGTGGTTCCCCAATATTTTGTTTTAAAGAGTCATGTTGAAGATTCACAGCTACTGGACTCCGTTCCTATCACCAAGTATCGCTCCCTTCTTCTGTCCCAACTGCAGGACAAATACTTGCCCAATATATCAGAACGTCACAAAATTGGGGCGTTTTTGTGGCCGAGGTGTTCGGCCATGGCTTTTTACTCGGAAGAGGAGAGAGAACAGGTAGGTTCGCGCGCAGTTGCAGTATCGGGTGGTGTGCAGATATTCTTATGCTCACAGGGTGCTTTCCGTTTTCAGGTGAAGTCGAGTGTACGGCGTTTAGTGCAGGAACAAGAGGACATTATGCGGCGTCGGGGTCTGCTTCCTGATCCTTCACTTCAAGCCCCCCCTCAAAAGAAAAGGCGCACCCGCCATACGTCTGATGATGACTATTCCTCGATTTTGGGTGGGGAGAAGGGGTCGGAGGTGGACGACGAGGTGGATAAATACCTGTTCATTGTGCGGACGACTGGGAACGGCGTGAGGTCCTCTGATTTGTTGCAGTGGTGGAAGGATAAGGTCAGTCAGCACTCATTGATAGAGCACGCGGAGGGGGGGGGGAGGGGTCGTTCATCATTGTGTAATGAAACAATTATTTTTACAGAGCACTGATTTGCCAGCGCGTTGTCCGGATGATACTGGCGACGCCAGCATCTAGTTCAGCAAGTGAGCGCATATTTAGCGTTGCGGGGAGGCTGATCTCGCCGAGGAGGAACTGCCTCTCTCCAGAGACAGTGGACGTCATGCTATTCCTCTTTCACTATCTCAAAAAGAAGGCTGCTAGAGCCGCTGCCGCAGTATCTTAACGCCAAGAAAGTTGTTTTCTGTTATCTTGCTCATATTTTTGAAGACTGAGACGGATAAAGTAATAAGACTGAAGCACGATTTGTGATAATGTCTAGTCTATCTCTGTATCTATATATTTATCTCTAGTCGAGGTCGAGAATTATTTAAGTTTTTGTTACTTATTAACAGTTGAAATGAAATGAATGAAATATTTCAATAAATATATCGTGGTAACGAACCAAATAAAGACTAAATATTTACATCACCACAGCACCTAATGCCCCATGGGAACAGAATGGGCTATCTACGTAGACTCAACGTGTACTACGTGGATACATACACGTAGATTTATCCCTTTAGCCTCAAGGTGGATTCAACGTAGAACTCAAGTGGACTGAACCATGGAGATTATTCACAGTGCAGTCCACGTCGATTTGTTACTTGCCACTCCCTCTCGATGATTATACATCTGATCCACGTAGACGTAAACTAGACGGTTTTTAGCGATGCGAAATATGTCGTTTCCACGTAGATGTATCGTTCTTTTCTCAAC